GGCTACGGAGTGATTCCAATTGCCAAGCCAACTTCTCCTTCCAACCCCAGGACACACAGTAGGTTGGCTATTTCTCTTTTATGTGGACATTCTTCACAATGTGTCCATCTTTAATCCCTGTGTAAAGTAGGGGCTCAACAGAGTGAGGACTCCCCTTTATCTGGCCTTCACTAGGATGGCATCACATTCAATTTCATTGGCATTTTGTCTTTCTTAGTCATTGAAGTGTCTTTAGTCTACTCTGATTCTCAAGACCAAATTAATAGTCATAACTTACTTTAAAGATACTCACAATTTTTTAATTTTAGGGGTGCATATGCCATAGCACATATTCAGAGGTCAGAAGACAACTTTCAGGAATCAATTCTCTCTTTTGCCATGTGGGTTCCAGGGATTGGACATGGGTCTTCACAGTTAATAGCGAACTCCTTTACTGACTGGACCATCTCACTCCCTCCTCCACCCCCACGCCCACCCCCAACTTCATTTTTAAAAGAATTTGTAGAAATATATTGAAAACAACGTTATCCACTAGTTCTTCAAAATTAGATATGTGAGCATGAAAAAGAACACAATATGTCTGAACACTGGTGAAATTTACCTCTGTTTGTCATTCTAGCCTTAGAAGATGCTGCCAGATCAGGAATGTCTTTTAAAAATAATATTTGTATTTACTCTTTGAAAACTTCATACTTGTATACAATGTATTTTTATCATACCAACTTTCTATTTCCCTTCCCTCCAACTTTCTCTAGTCACTCCAATACCACAACTTGATGTACTCTTACTTTTATTTATTTTTCATATCCAATTATTGTTGTCCATATGTGCATAGAAAACAGGTGTGTGATTACCTATTGAAGCATGGCAACCTACCAATGGCCATATACCCAAGGAAAATTATTCTCCTTCCCCTACATCCACCAACTTCTACCAGCTAGCTACTCAGCTAGGGGTGGAACAGAATGAGCCCCTCTCCATCTATGCTCAGGGTTTAATGAGTCACAAACCATTTTTCTGGAGAATTTCACACATGACCATGCTATGTATATAGCATGTCCACTCTTCCCTCTCCCTATTTCAACTCCTCCCATATACGTTTACTCTCTAAAAGCCATGTTTAATGCCTAGCTGAAGAGGCTTATAACCAGCCATGCTGACTACTGGATCACAGGGACTTGCACTGGGCAACACAGGGGCTCTCATCACACAGTGTTTCCCAGACCTTTTCACAAAGACTCGTCAATAGAGAAACAGCCTAAACGCAGCCGGGACGCCAGTGCTGATGCAGGGTTTGATCTTCCTTTGTCTCTTTAAGCTGCGGGTTATCTGTCCTAGCACAGAACACACAGGCTGATCTAAGGTCTGTCCTACCACAGAACACACATGCTGATCTAAGGGCCTCCATTGTCTTCGATGACTACCTAGAACACTCAAACAGCCCTGCATGACAGTAAAGACAAGCCTCTGTCTGAGATGTCCCTTGTCTATAGTGCAGAAAGCTCTTGGCCTCCCTTGGCCCAGGGAAGTCTGTCTGCTATTTACTTATGGAACAGAAAGTACATACAGTTTGTGGTTAGTAAGTTAGGTAACCTGAACTTCATGGAAGCTCTGTTTGCCTAATTGGTTGGTGTTACGAGTAGTTTTCCCGCCAGCCTGGTCTCACAGCCTCGTCAGCCCCAAATAACACACAGACGCTGTATTAGATATAAAGTTGTTGGCCTGTTACTAACATTTATTATTCCCCAGCTCTGTCTTAAATATTAGCCCATTTCTAATAATCTAAGTAGTTCCACGTGGTCTATCTTACCGGAGAGAGAATCTGACCTCTGTTCTCTCAAGTCCTACATGTTGAATCTTCTTTCTCTCCCTGAATCCTCCTTGTCTCCTAATCCTGCCTATCTTGCTTAACTGTTGGCCAACAGGGACTTATTCATTAACCAATAAGGGAAACATATTTACAGAATGACATCTCCCAAACTGTAAATGCAATGCCCAGAACTATGGATTATTACTTTAAATACCTGCATCCAATTTCTTACTATTTTTTCTATAAGACTAAAAAGACAGAGAAAATGAAACATCTTGCCTTGTGAAAAGTAAGTTAAAGGTTTCTGCTGCCATTTGTGACATCCAGTATTTATCCCGATGAACCCCACTGCCTGCCTGTCTGCCCCTTTGGGGGGGGGATGAAAACTGTCTCTACTATCTATTAATAAAATCTCTTGGATGACTTCCAACATGATCCTGTTATATGGAATTCCATGCTATCCATCTTTTGAAAAGAATTAGAGTGGATTCTGTATGGGTTAAATAAAAATGAATTGGAAATACACCATGTGCTTCATTCAGAAGCTGTGTCCTGTTGTAGATTTATGGCTCAATCTTATAGTTCCAAGCCCAGAACAGGGCTGATCCTGATGAATGATACAAGTACAACGCTGGCAATGAAACTAATATGAATTGCATGTCTGTGGCAAGGTGGCTGTTCCTAGTGCTTTACATGTTTTATCTAATATGATTTTTAGAGTTATCATACACTGTACAGGCATTGATGGATGTGGAAATGTGGGCCTGAAAAGTACAAGACATTTGTCAAGAATTACAGCAAGTGAGGGGTAGGGCTAGCCTTGAATCTGGTTTGAGGGTTAGAAGGTAGCAGTAGATACAAAGCCCCAATGTTGGCTTCCCTATTTTTGTGTGCAGCAAGAGCAGTAGGCACTTAAAGCCATGATGCAGTCTTCACTTGAAACAAAACCCTGTAGACAGAGTAGCAGAAGTCGTTCATAAAGTATTCAAGACGATGGCAATGTCAGGATTAAAGCCATTCAGTGCACCACGGGCCAGCTGAAGGATGAGATCCTACATGTGAATTTGAGGAGATGAGCCTAGAGGCGAGTCGGCTCTCTGAGATCATGAAGAATAGCACTGGCATGCTCATTTTTCCCTGGCTTCTTAAAAATTGTGACTCAGAGGACAAGGCACATTTATTTTCATTAAGGAAAACCTAATTAATTATTTCAAGTTAATTAAGTGGATCTGCTCCAAGTTGAGTTTAGTATATAAATCCACACTCAAAACTGTTACCATCTGGCCTGAATGTGAAAAAATAAGGGGTCTGGGGGAACAGAGTGGGGAGTTCTGTCAGCAAATAGCCTTTCACCTTAGCTACCTTGGTCCTACAGAAGGAAAAAGGTGGAGAGAAAGCACAGGGTAGTAAGATATTTAGCCACAAGAGCTATTTTTTTTTTCTGTGTGTCATTGACAAAATTGTCTTTCCCACTGTTGGATATGCATCCTTTTAGCTTGTTTACAATTGCTATGTAACTGACCTTCAAGCTCTCGGCGTCCACCTTCCTATTTTCTGCTCTTCTGGCTTCAGTTCATCTTTGTTTACCCAGTTGCTGCTGCTTCTAGAGTGTGAGCATGAAAAACAGACAATAAATATAAAACAGATCTCTTCTGTAATAGACGGAGGATGTCCTGTGCTAGTTACTTTTCCATGGCTGGGATAAGCACCCGTAACCAAGAGAGCTGTGAAAGAAAGCATCTGTATGGGACTTAGAGCTGTAGAGAGTGAGTCCATGCTCATCACCGTGGGAAACACCGCATCAGGCAGGCAAGCATGGCATTGGTGCAGTAGTTGGGAACTCTCGCATCGTGAGGTACTCACATCGTGACGAGACAACAACCATGAAGGACAGATAGCTTGACTGAAGAGATGCTCTTCCTGCAAGGAGGCCATACCTCCTCATCCTTCCCAAAATTGGGAACTGGGTATTCAAATGTATCAGCATATGGTGGCCATTCTCATTCAAACCACCACAGTGGACAAGAGTGAACTGATAGTAATTCTCTGAACAGAGAGAGGTCTGGTGTGTCCTAATTGTATTGTATTGCTTTGGTCTATCTGTGCTTTGTTTCTCTAGGGACTTGTAAGTCCTTGATGGGAAGAGCCAGGCTTCTTCTTCTCCTCGTCCTCCTTTTCCTCCTCCTCCTTCTCCTTCATCTTCTTCGTCTTCTTCTTTCATTTTTATTTCTCTGGTACGTAATTGCATGTTTCAGGCAGAGGAGACATTGTAAGAAACCATGCAGAGGTGAGTGAATAAATGAATAAAGAATAAAAGAGTGAAAGTGTGTAACTGAGTAAAACAAGAAAACTGGCAATACTTGTCTTTTAACCTTATTCTTCCCTGGTAAGCTACCCAATGAAGCTCCTCAAGAAAGTCCAAGGTCACAATTTTTCATAAGTATTCTTGATGTTATAAACCTATGCCACCCACTCTGTCAACAAACACACACACACACACACACACACACACACCCAACGCAACAAAAACAAAACACCCTCTGAAGTGTCAAGCAAATTGTTTAGAAAGAACACAGCACGTGCAGTCCTGTTTGGTTTGCTTTTTGGTGAGTAGGGCAGGAATGCCGTGTTTTACTGCTTCTCTCTGTTCAAGGATAATCTAATCTTGCAGAGGTAGTTACGGAAGTCAGTAATAGTTCTTACAGGGGAGACAAATCCTGCCTGCATTGGACTACGGCAGAACAGAATGCCCGGACACCATTGTCAGTGAGAGCTTCCTTCCTTGTAGTTTCAGTGTGCCCTTAAATGAAATATCTATATTTCTTCTGGGTTTAATGAGGCCATAGACAACCGACTCTTTATGGACTAATGTTGGAGATTTTTTTTCCTTTGATTTGATACATTCTAATTTGCGTTTAACTACCCTTCCCAAGCAATTCAGGTTCTCAGATGGGCATTTTAGGGACAATTAGCTAAATGTTCCTCTCATTAGCCACAGGGCCTAGAAAAAGACAAAAGGAATCAATAAGACAAAGCCAGCTTAGGAGAACATTTACTGTCCATCAGGAGGACCAGCTACCTCACCAAGTTGTGTGTTACTGCAGGAGGCAGCTTCTCCCAGCCCACACATCATTAAGCTGTCAGGGGCAGCAACGGTTTTCTGCTCAATCACCTTTCTGTTGTGTTTTAGTTTTCAGGGCTTTACCTCCTGTCTTTCTTCACCATCCTCATCGGGCTGGTACTCTACTCCTCCACCTCCACCTACATAGCCCAGGACCCCCGTGTGTACAAGCAGTTCCGTAATCCTTCAGGACCTGTTGCGGACTTAGCCAGCAGCGCGGCTCAGGTGGAGCCTTCAGTCACCTATACCAGCCTGGGCCAGGAGACAGAAGAAGAGCCCCATGTACGTGTGGCCTAGGGTGAGGCCTGCCCTGCCCACGAGGACAACTCAGAGGCCGTGTGTTTGCTCATCATCTCTGTATGTACATAGAGAAAGGTATTTAGTAGGTGCAGATTGACAGGTGGACTGCAAGGTAGCTAATCCCCCTTTTGTAAAAGGAAACAAGCTGTGAGCCAATGGAGACACAGGCATCAATCCACCTGATTCAGAGAGAGGCTTTGATAGTATGAACCCTGACCCAGCCCCCACCCCTGCATTAATTACTGTGAAAATTTTGGAATCAAAAGCAAGTATTATTGTTCCTATGATTTTTATTATTGTTGTTACTGTTATTATGCCGACTTTCAGGAGGAGGTTTTGTATTCCTGGTGAGAATTATTGCCAGATCCTCACGAAGTCAGCATACACCCTTTTCTATGGCAAGTCACTTTTTAAGAACCATACCTTTCGTTTTGTTTTGCACAGACTATATGAGTGATGCATGCCACAGAAGCTCTACCCTTCAGAAGTTCCCTCATCCTGGTGACCTTGTGGCTAATGGTTTCCTCTGTCACCTGTTGGATTGCCTGCTCAATAAGGATTTTGTGCTGTGACCCTTGTAGGGAGGGGAAACTGACCATATAATTCTCTATTCTAGGAATAGATATAAAACAAACATTTTAGCCTTTTTGTATTTCATTTTGTGCTTACTGTGGGCCATTGGCTTTCTTTTGGGCCAGGAGATTCACCTAATCAGGCCCTGTGACTACAGGATAAGAATCCTCATATTTTTGTGGCTTACAGGAAACCCTCTAAATAAAATCACTTATGTTTAGGGTTGTGAGTTTTTTTTTTTTTTTAATTTTTTTCTGTCCTCCCCTATGTCTCTCTCCTCAAAAATTAGCTTCTATTTTAATTTTTTTCTTAATGATGTCATGGAAAGTAATAAAATACTGAAAAAGCCATGGCCTTTGCCCTCTTAGTTATATCATATCTTTTTGGGGGTGTGCCAAGGCGGACACTGTCTTTACTATGGAGCATCACTGTTTATGCCCCTCCTGGAGCAAAGTACTGATGTGGGACCCTCTCTGTTTGTAGCTCATGTTCTGGTCCCTTGGTAGTTGTAAAGATGTCAGCATTGAAAAGTCTGGCATTTTGGTCACATTGGCTACCCATTTAATAACAGAATATATGAATAAGCATTCATACACACAGAGAATGCAACAGCGTCCTGACAAAGCTTGACGAATCACTAGTTTAACCAGTTCTGTTGTCTCGGCAATGTCTCTGCCCACACCCAACAGGGAAATTGAGAACCACCTCTGACCTCTACATTTAGAATAGATTCCATGTGTCAGTGTGGAAGTAACTCTGTAGCTTGGCTGACTCCAACACCGTTCAAAAGGATCCTTGATGGAGTTACCAGTTTTGTATAAATGTTCATGAAATTTGAGACAATTCAAGTCAATACATTTTAATCAATCTAGACAAACAAAACAGTAGTGGGCGGTCTCATAAAGGAAGAACAGATTGCAGTAGGGCCTGAACAAGGCCCAAACTCGGCAGGCAAGAGTTCCCACCTGTTCGCCAGCCGGCCTCTGGCCTTCTCCTGAGAAGAAGTCATTGTGATCCACTTTGACAACTCACACAAGAACAACAAATAAGAAATGTGCTTAAAAAGTGTAACTCAGTTAGAGTACTTTTTCATTGGAAAATAGAACTTTTCTTCTAAAGTTGTTTAGTCCTGACCTAAGAGAAAGGAAGAAAAGTATTTTCTGATATGCAGATTTCATGTTAGGTTTCCCCCATGGAATTAGGTTTTCTTTACTTGGGTGGTGTGGACATGAGGGAGAAAGGACTGGGCTGAAGCTATGTGTCACATTCTACAACCTTGCCAACATCTGCTCTCTGCTGCCTTTTATGCCAATTAAATACCTTTCTCTGAATATTTTGTCCATTCAGATCTGAAGACCTTTACAGACTGTGCTTTTATTTTTGTGTTTACATTCCTTTGATTTGCATAATTTACTTGATTTGTTGCATGTATTTATTTTAAGCCAAATGTCTTTGTCTTTTTGATTCATTTTTATGACACTGATTTGTAGACACTCGGTAAATGCTTATGAAAAACAAGTGGCTGAAACTGTTTCCAAGTTCATCCAGTGGGCTAGGAGCATGTTTAAATTTAAAGTTCAGAAAGATTTGCACTTAACAGGTGGCTGAAGGTTGCTGTCTGGACCATTTTATAGGATGTCTTCATTGACTCCATTGTATGGAAACCAAGGATGACTATCAAGATGAACTCAGTGTGTGCTTTTCCTCACTGGATTCCTTGTGGTCAGACATTCATGCCACTGGATTACTTCACCTGTGTTGGTTTATCTCCATTTATAAAGCTGGTAACATTGGCCATCCAAGATCAGAAGTTTAGAATTGACCCTTAAGGACAAAAAGACAAAAGGTTTCAAAGAGCCATGTTTTCGGTATGAAAACATTGGTAGTTTGAGAGTGGGTGGGAAGTGGGAATAGGGTAACATTAACTGTAGCAGTTTTAGTTTCTGAGATTCTGTAACCTCAGTAGACACCAGGAAGAATTTCACGTCTTACCGCGCCACTCTCCTCTATGAATGAGAACAGTCCTTTGTGTGATTGCTGACGAGGAGCACACCACAGCTCTCTTCAGCCTTGCCAGAGCTGAGTAAGTAGTGGTTTTCACTCCCTCGCTGGAAGCTTGCACTGGAGACAGAACTCACCTTGGTCAGTCGGATCTCCCCACAGCTTCAAACACATACCCAGGTAGACCAAGCAATGGGCGACTTTGCACCAATGTGTCCCATCACAGTGTTTCAGTGTTCAATTTAGGGATTGCTAACTTGTGCTATTAACCTTTTGACACGCCTGTAGTAGTGTTTGGGGTTTATTTTTTGATTTGTAACCATTTAGTAGTCCCGAGCTAGCTATCAATATGGATTTTACCCCATGGGTAGGAGTCTATCTTCATACCACATAACAAAGCACACTAATCCTGACACCACAATGGACAATATGAACCAAACTAAAAAAATAAAGAACACACTGGGAAGCTGAACAAGCAATCCACCTTTCCTATGTGCATGCTCCCCCATGGACTGGCTGTGGCAATGTAACACCTCTAAAATGTTTTCAAATAAAAATACATGCTTTATGAAAGCAGCATGCTTCTGGCGTGTGTTTGTCTGCACTGTGACAGCCATGACAACAAGTTCCCCTGCGATGCTAGAAATAGCAACAACGGCAGAGAGCCCAGCACACGTCAAAAGAAAACCCATCGAGAAAATGGCCTCAAATTAGGTATGGTATAGTCTCTGAACTGTAGTTTCAAGAAGTTGAATTAGCACATTTGTAATTTGTTTCAGGGTACCAAAAGAGGCTGTTGGGATACAACTTACATGTCTACATGGAAAACTCATTTGGATAATGCAACGCTACCCCTGAGAAACAGTTTCTTTGAAGAAATTTGTGGGTACACTGCCCTGGGCATAGCAGCAGGCCAAACCATGTGCATTCTTCCAGACCAGGGCATTTATGAAGCAGAGAGTACCCAGGTTCCTCTTGAGAACTTAGAGAAAGCCAATCCTCACCTCTCCCCAGCTAACTGCTTTCAACCTTTTATTCAACCTGTTATGCATTTACTTTGTTTGTTCATCCTTACCACTTAAGTTCACAATCAGACCTTCAAAAATAAATAAACCAGGATCATTGTGTATCTGAGCTGTATATTCAAAATATTTTTAAATCGATTTTTCAGCAAAGAGGCACAACCCCACACCAAGTGCTTTGTAAAACACTTTATAAAGTGTAAACTAACAGCAGAAGGTTATCACACATAAATAATTTGCTTCAAAAATACTTTTCCTTATAAACTTTTCTCTGAAACCTATTTCATTTTATTTATGAAGCTCCTTGATCAAAAATAGAATGAAGTCGAACTTCAGCCCAGCCTTGTATACAGACATACAGCCGTTTCAAAAGATTGGGTCCAAATTACCGAAGGCAGTTAACGTGTGTTATGTTCCACCTGTTTGCCCTAAGTGTTGTTATTTTCTTAAGAGAAAGAACCATTTTCCTAAACACTCAGGAGATCCTGCAATAATAAGATGAGGCAGCATTAGAATTTTGTAACTCTTTAGAAGAAGGAAAAACAAACAAACAAACAAACAAACGGGGGCTGAAGAGATGGCTCAGCTGTTAAAGACTAGGCTCACAACCAAAACAAACAAAATAACACTAAAATTCACAGGGCAGCTGCATTGATTAAATTGTCTTCACCCCCCACACACAAGAAAATGAACTGTTATGTGTGATATAATAGCCAAGCACAGATCCAGCTAATCTGTTCAGTGCTCAGCCAAACACCTGGCACATGGAAGCCATTTATACATCTTATTTTACAAGAATCTCCCTGCAAAACCATAAATACAAACACAAACATGAGCAATTCTATTACAAAATATTGCCTTTCTTCTCTTAGCTCTTTTTTTTTTTTATTCAGATAAAATCCTCGCTCTTGAAATTGAAAAGAATCAGCAGATCCACTCAAGTTCTTGCTTCTAGGGAACTTAAAAAACAAAACAGAACAAAACATCACTTACAATGTTTAAAGACCTTCAGGTTCAGGTCTGAGGTAGGAAACAACGAATTTCTTTACTTTCAAATAAAACTTTATGTTTCTAGCTTACCTTCTTAATTGTGCATACCAGTCAACCTTTTTAATCTTCATTTTGTCTTTGATTTTCTCCCCTTTCTTGTTTCTACAATCAGAGAGCTCACTAGGGTCCATCTATGAAGGGTTAAAAAAAATCGATTACAGCTGAAAAGTCCTGCCTCTTCCAGGTAGCCTGTACTGACACTCAAGAAGACAAGCCATTGAGTGTCACTCTTCAGACAACTAGACAAGTCTCCTCCAAATGGCACAAAGATGAACAAGGCCAACAAATGATCAGATGGCGCCAGTCTGATGGAATAAGCTACAATATTAGCACCATCCATCCGGATGAACAAAAAGGCTGGTGTGGGCAAGAAACAAAGTCTGGAAAAGCATTAAAATGAGCTTGTTCACTGAGTGTTAGCAATAGAGC